CCGTTTCTATCATGATGTATTGTCTGAAATCAACGCCGAAAGCGAACATGGAGATAGCCAGGCGGTTGAGGAACTGGAGCGCGCATTATCTACCGGCTGGAAAGATCATGAGGCAACTACTGACTATAGCAAAGAGTCTCTTGGCAAAGCTGCTAACCACGTTGCTGCTTTAAAACAAGTTACAGGCGAGGCACAGTATACTGACGACATTCCACCTCTAAAGAACGAACTTCACGCATCCATTGTTTTCTCGTCCCGCGCGCACGCGAAGATCAAGTCAATTGACTATTCCGCCGCTCGAGATGTTCCCGGTGTGATTGATATCATTGATCGGAATGACCTGCACAACCCGGAAGACAACATATGGGGAGCACCGAATTTTGACGATTACTTCTTCGCTGAAGACGAGGTGTTTACCACTGGTCAGCCTATCGCTGTAGTCTTGGCTACTTCAAAGGCTAGGGCGAATGATGCGGTCCGCGCAGTCGAAATCGAATACGAGGACCTCCCCGCCATTTTTACAATGGAAGAAGCTATTGAGAAAGAGAGCTTCCACAAGTATTTCAATTACATCAAAAAAGGCGACGTAGAAGAAGCCTTCAAGGATTGCGATCATGTATTTACCGGTGTGACACGAATGGGCGGCCAGGAACACTTCTACCTCGAGACTAATGCATGCATGGCAATACCCAAGCCTGAAGACGGTGAGATGGAAATCTGGACTAGCAGTCAAAACCCTACAGAGAGGTATGTTTCCTACACCCACACCAAAAACGACTGCAGGTTAACGAGTTACAAGTCAAGTATATGCAGCGAAGATACTTGGCGTTCAGGCCAACAAAGTTGTCGCCCGAGTAAAACGGCTGGGCGGCGGGTTTGGTGGAAAGGAAACAAGATGCGTCCAACTCAGCACCATGATGGCCTTGGCTGCCCAGAAAACCAAGCGTCCGGTGAGGTGTATGCTAAATCGAGACGAGGACATGATAATGTCTGGACAACGCCATCCTTTCCTAGCGAAATGGAAAGTCGGTGTTAACAAGGACGGAAAGCTTCAAGCACTCGATGTTGATGTGTTCAATAATGCTGGTTGGTCTTTCGATCTTAGCGCTGCCGTATGCGAACGGTGCATGACCCATATTGACGGCTGCTACAAATTTCCCAATGTTCACATCCGCGGCCGGTTATGCAAGACCAACACAATGTCAAACACAGCGTTCCGTGGCTTTGGAGGACCGCAGGGTATGTTTATCGCCGAGTCAATGATGGCGGAGGTGGCCGATCGGTTGGGAATGGCCGTAGAGGATCTCCGCGAGATCAACTTCTACGAAGTCAATGACCAAACTCATTTCAACCAGACCATACAAGACTGGCATGTGCCACTGATGTATAAGCAAGTGAAAGAGGAGTCGGACTACGCCGGTCGGCGGAAGGCTGTACAGGATTTCAATGCCAGTCACAAGTGGCGCAAGCGAGGGCTCGCTCTTATTCCGACGAAGTTTGGCATTTCCTTCACCGCGCTTTGGCTTAATCAAGCCGGCGCTTTAGTCCACATTTACCACGACGGATCAGTCCTTGTTGCGCATGGAGGCACCGAAATGGGCCAAGGACTGCACACTAAAATGATTACACTTGCTGCTGAGGCACTGCAAGTACCGATGGAAGATGTCTTCATTTCAGAGACTGCTACAAATACAGTCGCAAACTCGTCGGCTACAGCAGCCTCAGCGTCATCCGATCTCAATGGGTATGCAGTGTGGAACGCCTGCGAACAGATTAATGCTCGTCTAGCTCCATACAGGGAAAAGCTTGGGCCAAAAGCAACTATGAAGGAACTCGCACATGCTGCTTATTTCGACCGCGTGAACCTGAGTGCCAACGGCTTCTACAAAACCCCGGAGATCGGGTACAAATGGGGTGAAAATGTGGGCAAGATGTTCTTCTATTTCACGCAGGGTGTCACGGCTGCGGAGGTTGAGATTGACTGTCTCACGGGAACTTGGACATGCTTGAGGGCCGACATCAAGATGGACGTCGGCCGCTCGATCAACCCTTCAATTGACTATGGTCAGATCGAGGGCGCCTTTGTCCAAGGCATGGGACTCTTCACCATGGAGGAGAGCTTATGGCTCCGCAATGGTCCCATGGCGGGACACTTGTTTACCAAAGGCCCAGGTGCATATAAGATCCCGGGCTTCCGCGACATACCGCAGGTCTTCAACGTAAGTCTCCTCAAGGGTGTGACATGGGAGAACCTCCGCACGATCCAACGAAGCCGTGGCGTCGGTGAACCTCCATTGTTCATGGGAAGTGCTGTTTTCTTTGCCATCCGCGACGCTCTGAAGGCCGCACGCGCAGACTATGGGGTGAAAGCCATATTGGGGGCTGAGGGGGGCGAAGACGACGGCTTGCTGAGGCTTGAGAGTCCTGCAACACCCGAAAGGATCCGACTGTCATGTGTTGACCCTATCATGGAGAAGGCACGAGTCCTCCCCAAGGAAGGCGAAAAGAGCTTCTTCGTTGCCATATAAGGTTAACTATTAAATATTTATCTTGGTATCAAATGCATACGTAGGCACACGGGTGGCTGGGGAAACGACTGGGTCGTTACTTTGAACTCACAAATTGTTAATCGAATCCATTCTCAATAATTCTACTGGACAAACATTGGTGGATTGCCAAGATCGTATTTCCCGACTTTAATCACATTAATCGGTGCTATTCTGCATATCGCCGAAAGTCGCCCGACGGCGTTATCAAGTACTGTCGTAGAGCCGGCCGCGCTAGCTCGAGGTGTTTCGCGGCTTGTTTCCTAAACTGGCTGTTTAGAAATGCCCTCCCACGTGGGATTATTAATTGAGCCATAATTGAAGAGCAGTCTACTGTAAAGTTCCAACCCAATCTAGAGGAGCAGAAGTTTAACCCAATGCACTAGTTGTCATCCCGTCAAGTTATCATGGGCTGAGTAACTAGCTAAAGAATGAGTAGAAAGGGTATATATACCAGCGCTCGTGCTGCATTGAATCGGCTGGGGAACAAGGTCGATTACATCACACAGTTCGGCACTTGATATTCACAATTAACCCGTCTATTAATACCACCTAATCTGAACCACCAACTCGAGCACGCGGGCAGGCACTCTGTCATCTTGAATCCCGAAAATACATGATATAATGGCGAAGATAGCCATCGTCGGCGCATCCGGCAAACTGGGCGGTGCCACGCTCTCGGCGCTCCTGGCGCACAAGCTGGCCGCCCCCTCCGACATCGTCGCACTGACGTCGTCGACGCCCGACTCGCAGACGTGGGCCAAGCTGGCCGCAACCGGCGTGCAGGTCCGCCACGCGCGCTTCGAGGACAGCGCGACGTTCGAGAGCGCGCTGGCCGGCGTGGAGAGGTTCTTCCTCGTGTCGACGCCGGACATCGCGCTGGATTTCGGCGTCGCCATGGACCACGACGGCACCGCCGACGCCAGCGCCGCCATCGACCCCAAGGCGCCGGGCCGCGAGAGCCACCACCGGCACGCCATCGACGCGGCCGTGCGGGCGGGCGTCGAGCGGATCGTGTACTCGAGCCTGGCGTTCGGTTTCGCCCCGTCGGTGGGAGGCCCCGCGGACGCGAGCGCGGCCGGCGTGATGTGCGCGCACCTGCGCACCGAGGCCTACCTCCGCTCCGCGGCCGTGGCGGGGCGCGGGGTCCAGGTCACGATCCTGCGCGAGGGCCTGTACAACGAGTCCTGGCCGCTGTACCTCGGCTACTTCGACGCCGGCGCCGCGCCGCGCGAGCGGGACGTCGTGCCGCTGGCGGGCGACGGCAAGGTCTGCTGGACCGCCATCCACGACCTCGGCGTCGCGAGCGCGCTCGTCCTCGCGGCCGGGGACGGCGAGTTCGCCGGCGAGACGTTCTACCTCTCCACGCGCCCCGCGGCGGCCAGGATGGTCGGGGAGATCGCCCGGCTCGTCGGCGCGGCCAGGGGCAGGGACGTCAGGGTCGACACCGTCGGGCGCCAGGAGCACGTGAGATATTACGTCGAGGAGCGGGGGCTGCCCCGGCCGGCCGTCGAGTGGTGGGTCAGCTCCTACGAGGCGCTCGAGCGCGGGGAGTGTCTCGTCGACGACCCCATGCTGGAGAAACTATTGGGTCGCGTCGGGCTGAAGCCCATCCTCGTCGAGGAGACTGTTGCTGCTATGGTCAGGGGTCAGGGAAGTTGGACGAGTAGGCAAGGGGCTTAGAAGGCCTGTTCAAGCTGACAAGATCCCTTAAATGGTCACATGCAGGGTGGACTGGTGACACGAGCTGTGAGCTCGGGATTGCAAGTTTCTCTCTAAGACCTAGTACCGCCTGATCGCTATGATGAATAGGTAGCCACGCGCACGTCGTTATGGAATGTTAGGCCCTGCTCTTCTCACTTCCTCTGTTAATGATGAAACACCCTGTCATGATCCCGCGGGGTGAAAGGTGGTAAGCAAGACTGTCTGTCACTATCGCAATATGTACTCAAAGATCTTGATCAGTCCGAGTTGGCAGGGCATTGGCTAGCCAATATCCTTTCTGACATAGAATCCCAACGCTGCTAAACGAGAATCCAAAACGTAAGAGTATCGAACTAGGTCAAATTTTAACATGACCCAAATTCCAAGATTGAATGTTGATCTCTTCTCTGCGTTCTCAGTGGCAATTTTAACTGAGTAGGATTGGATTGTTCTTTTGGAGGCAGTTTTTACAATACGGAAACCAATAGGGTCGAATAGGGTTCCCTCACTTCTAAGTCCTCTATGCAACCACCGCCTCTCTACTATGCTAACACTAAATAACCCAGCTATCTACCTTGAGAACTTAACTTAGTCATTATTAGCCGAGAAGCGATCTCTAAGCAGCCATACTATAGGACCACAACATCGACACCAAAAAAACTAGCCCCCTTTGGCCAGACCACAACCGAGAAAAATAAAGAAAAAATCAGGAAAAAAGGAACAATGAACTGCATGCGAAGGACATGTTGATGATGAGAGTGGGACTCGAACCCACGCGGATTGCTCCACTGCGAAGTTTTGTTCGGACTGATGCCTGAACGCAGCGCCATAACCACTCGGCCATCTCACCTGTGCATGTCTCGTTGCTCGTTATTGATGGTATATAACCAAAGTCCTCACAAAATCCCTCGGGGGACCGGCCGTGACTACCACTAGAGCCTATTCAAACTCGACTTACCTCTGAAAACTTTCCAAACTTTTAATGCTCTCATCATGCTTCTAATTTCTAAGGGTCTGCCAATGGGGGGGCTCTCGATCTTTTCTCACAAGTCTTACTATAGGGTTTATCGATAGTTGATTAGGGACCTATTGTAGATTTCAGTTTTTTATTCTTTTTTTGTACAATTTTCCTAATAATTCGGAAGAGATAACCATATCGCTGAAGTTGCACCCCCATGCCTAGTATAGAGCCAACATAAATCGTATGCTGGAATATCTTTTTCCTCTACTCCTACAAGTGACTTCAGAGGTCGTATTGAACTTGGCACCCATAAAGATGGGGTGAGGTATGCTGTTGAAAGAGTAGCCTGTATGGTTTTCCTATCCTCAAAAGAAAAGAAACGAAAAGTCGAAAGAGAAAAACTAAGCTGACGTGGATGGAAGGGCAGCAACATATTACAAACCACCTTTTCTTTCATTTGCCACCCAGGTCCCATCCGAGTTCGGTCTCGGAGAACTTGGTTCGACAAGGAGAGCAGGTGACATTTTTCGAGTTCCGATGCCATCGATCACGGCGGTACTATACCTAGCTTGCGCCAATCCTTCAGCCAGAAGATGGTATCCTTGACGAGGTCATCCCACGCATCAAAATCATTTTTGAACATGGTATCCATGACCCATTGTGCATCATCCTCTTCGGCTTCGGTGAATATGTCCCCTAACTTGAATGGGAACTTCTTGTACGCATCCATTATGGAGGAAAACATGTCTTGTATCTCTCTTCCTCGGCGAATGAGAGCCTTTGATCTATTTCGGCAAGATCCTGATTCTCCCTTTTGGCAGTCTCGCAAGCCCATCACGAAATCGGGCAAGTGGCGGGAAAGTCTCTGGGCGAGATCTCTGACTTTTCCTGGGCTGTGACGCTTGATATGGTCGTCTATCCATTCCGCCAATGCGAGCATCCCCCCGGATGGCTGGGCTGTGTTCGTCGGCTTATAAGCCAGTCCTGGCACAGTAGTGGGTATTCCTTTCCTGGTAGGTTCGGGCTGGAGTGTACTAGGCGCAACGTATTCATAGTCGGCGCAGCCCGTGGAGCCAGAATGGCCGAACCGGTGTGCTAGCCGATGCTTGTCTTCATCCCAGCGAGCCTGGCTTTGTCCGCGTTCAAATCCAGGGCTGTGGGTGTCATGGCTGCTAGCACCGTCATAGCGAACCAGGGTTTGCGAATAAGCTGGATGACTCGGCCTGGCTAGGCTCGGACAATACGGGTTCGGCGGCAGCGGGGTCCCGTATGGCCATTCTTGCATTCCGCTGTGGTGTCCGTATCCCGGGTGCCCGGCTTGTTGATGCTACAACAAAAAAATAAAGTATTAGCAAGACGGCGCCATGATGTACAGTATAGCGACCTTACGTAGTAATACTCTTGGCCGCCATCGCTCCCACGATGAGACGAATGTCCTGAGCCCCTAGAGTGACCCCCCATATATGGTACAAGCGATCGACTCATGATTGAATGATCAAACTATCAACACTTGCTGAGGCTGGTTGATGGCAAGTCGTCGCGGAGAAAACGGGGACAAGATGGCGTCTGTGGCGTCTAGTTATAGACATTCAGCAATAGCAACGACCGCGCTTCTAAACATTGCCACTAGTCAGCAAATGTCATGAGTATCGCAGTTCGGGTCATGAGGTGATACACACAGGCAGGATTAGTGCGTGTAACCAGGAAGGAGCCCACATGTGCCGTGTCTAGATAACCCCCTCACATCGAGGGTGATGAGGGATAACAGGCCTATGGTGAGCGTACACCATGGTGTCCTTTGAATTTCTCGACATGGTTGTTTCGAAATCGAGGTTCTGATGAATTTCATTGGACCAAGCCGAAAGTGCGCGTTGGTTTCTAAACCCTACTCCTACTACTCCTACTACATCGTACAAGCGCGTAACCTACAACATAGGGATGGATAAGTGAGGTTTAACGCTATCCTGTTTGACTGGGTATACCACCAGGGTTAAAGACGGGAAAAACGAAAGAACACCCAATTAGCTAACAACGAGGCCGAAAGTAGTACTGTGATTCACAAAACAAGCTCAGCGTTTCGTGCTGGGGGCTGAGTGCACTACCCCCCTTTTTTTGGTTCCTTTCGTGTTCTTATTCTGCTTGTTGTGGATGAGCTTCAAGCAAGCCCCGTCCATGGGGATAAAATATTCTGTCTCTTGGCAAGAGAATCTCCCCATGGAGGCAATTATTCTTCACAGGGCTACATTGTTTGTGTAGCTGTGACCACGTGGTTATTTGTGTAACTCTGTGGGCTCTATGAGTGGTATTTACCTTGCCTTCTCCCGTCCCTTTCCACAATTCTTTTCTGGTGTGCTTTATATCGTGCATCAACACGTAAACCCGATTGTCCATTACACCATGAACACTCCTCGGACTGGCGTAAGGCTCGTAACTTGGATGCAACGCGCAGCGCACGTGAGTGTGAACCAATTGGACTGAATGAGCCTTGATGAAAACTGAGGGGCGGAGGTACGAAGCACCACGGAGGGTCGCTATCGCCAAAATAGGGAGGTGCCAAATTGTTACCGAGTAGGCCTGGGTCACGTCGAGCTAACCAAGGATACCCCTGAAATACGCTCGAAATACTCCGTACTTTTCTAACTAGCTAAGTTAGTTAGTTACTAGCTACTTACCTACCTACCTCGGTAAGTATGTGCTTAGGTATGTGTACTAGCTAACCTTAGACAATTATGTACGCATTCGGTGGTCTGTGGATAAAAGGCTTACCTACTCCGTACCTTACATACCTAATCTTTGTGTACCTTTTAGGTACATATATTAGATACTCTCTACGTGGTAGAATAATGTGGTTGCGCCCAGCTGAATCTAGGGATACCGATCCGATACCAACAACCCTCGCCTCGGATCCAGATACTCCCCTACCGAGTAACCCATCTATCGGTAGCCCTCGAGGAGTTGTGAGACGCGAACACAAGCCACGATATGACGGGACCTAAGCCGGGGCAGAAGACGGTGCTTGTGACTGGGTATGGTGACGTTACACTGACACGCGCCGCGGCACAGCATTGGGATTCATCACTAACGAATGCCACCCATCCATTGCAGCTGCACGCCGGGGGGCATCGGTCACGGCCTATGTCTCGAATATCATAAGCAAGGTATATTTTTTTTTTTTTTTTCCTTTTATTTTCTTTATATTTATTCTCTATTCTTTTTGGTGTCCGTGATGATAGCAAGGCCACACCGCTGACCGGGCGCCAGGTCTGCACGTAATCGCCACGGCGCGTCGGCCCGAGGTCCTCGCCGAACTGGCCGAGTTGGGCATGAGCACCGTGGCCCTGGATGTCACCGACGCCGAAAGCATCAAGCGATGCCACGACGAGGTCGCCAAGATCAACGGCGGCAAGCTGGACATTCTCGTGAATAACGCGTGAGTAGTAGCCACCGGTGCCCCAACGCCCTCTTCTCCCCTCAGAGGACGAGGAGGGCGAGTAGACGGTGTTGTATAGGATATGGATGCTCAACGGGACTGATTGGACAGGGGCCGCACGCACACGCACCCGGCACTGGATATCTCACTCCCGGATGTTCGCGCGACGTTTGAGACCAATGTCTTCTCCATCATGGCCATGGTCCAGGCCTTCATCGACCAGCTCATCGCCGCGAAGGGCCTCATCATCAATATCTCATCGCTCTCTTCCATCACGCCCTACCTGTTCGGTTCGGTGTACTGCGCCAGCAAGGCTGCCGTCAGCGCCTACTCGCGCACGCTGCGCCTGGAACTGGCCCCCTTTGGCGTGCGCGTCATGGTCTCGATGACGGGTACGGTGAGGAGCAACACGGCGAGCCAGGGCCATCGCGTGCTGCCGCCGGACAGCCTCTACCAGAAGGCGAAGCACATCTTCGAGTGGCGGCTCGTCTTCAGCCAGAATAGCGATACCATGGGCACGGAGACGTTCGCGAGGAAGCTCGTCGCCGACTCGCTCCGGACTGAGACGCCCGGATGGCTGCGAGGCTGGCTCGGACGGCCGGATTGGTTCTGGTACGGCGGCCTTGCGCGAACGGCCTGGCTCGGGCACAGCCTTGGCGAATGGACTGTGGACTTCGTGAGCTGGAACAAGTTCCGCATGCCGGAGATAATGAAGCTTATTGGGGAAGATCAGGCTCACAAGAAGAGGGCGTAGCTTAAGCCGTAACCCTTGATTATCTACCAGTCGCCTGTATATACATAGCATACGAACATTGACAAACCAGGACTAATAGACAGCCTTCTATCTCTATTCAAAGCTACGCCGCGTTGCCGTATGCTGGTTTCACTTAAGGTAGCTTGGGGGCCCTGGATGGTTGTGTGCACAATAAGCCATCCCTTATTTCCATCCTGCCCCCTCCACTTTCATCAATCTCCGCTATGTGACTTTGAAGTGTAAAGTCTGACAAACACGACAGCATTATTCATTCCACAAGCCTCCACCGTCTCATCAGCTCGTCAGCAACGTCAGCCGGCGCGCCGCGTATCTCGTTCCCGATAGCCGTGGCCTGCTGGCCCCATTCGGCGCCCTTGACCTGCATGTGGTTGTAGTGGCCGGGCCCGATGGCCGAGCCGCTGTAGGTCTGCTCCAGCGGCAGCGTGTTCTGCCACAGGTTCCCGGAGAACGAGTAGAACATGCTGTTGTTGATCGCCATGCTCTGCCGCGCGATGTTGAGCCGGATGTCGCTGAGGATCCGCCTCGCGCGCGGCACCGTCTCGGCCCAGACCGCCCGCCGCCGCGCGCTGTGCTCGAGGAGCGCCCGCGGGTCCGGCGGCGCCGCGGCGCACGCGTCCAGGTACAGCTGCCGCATGCGCGGGCTGTACATCTCGCACATGACCCCGCCCGCCACCTGCGTGCCCT